TAGCCAACTTTTCAATTTTTGGCTTTCATTTTGCTTCCACGGCCTACTCGGTGAATTTCAATAATGATTTTTTTCTGATCTAGTTTCTGGTTAGATACCAACTTGTGATATGTCATTAGAAAGGGAATTTAATGGTGAATAAAGCGAAAAAAAAAATAGGGTTTCCATTTAAAATAAGAAAGTTGATGTTACTTCCGGTCAGACCGGAAGTTAACTTCGACATGTCAATATGCTCAAATTCTAGCTCGTATGTCATTATATCGACGCTCCAAATTTCACAAACCTACTTCATACAATAACTGAGATATTCCGTAGGCAATACTTCCGTAGCCACCCGGTATAATTATCTATGACCAACACACTAATACAACATTGAAAAACATTTTTTTTTTAAATGGTGGACTTGTAGTTATAGGAGAGTCTGATAGATACTTCTTAGATTACTAATATCTGTTCTGTCGTTCATCGAGTTAGTGTCTTTTTTAATATATATAATTTCTTCCATGCATCTTTTGTAGTAGTTACTTTACTTACTTTCATAATCAAGAATTTTGACCTTGTTAAAGGAAGTGGTATTGTCATTATCCATTGAATGTTTAGAAGCTGTTGAGTTTTGTTTGTTGTAGTGATGTCCTTTCAATCTGTTTTCTGAGTATTGTGTTGTCATACCGATATACGTTTTATTGCAGTTATTACATGGAATAGAATATATAAGATTCGAATTTTTTAAATTGGGGTTTTGCTTTTGAGTTTTCAAAAAAATTTGTTTGTAGTGTTATGAGATTAATGACATGTGTGAAATCTTATGTGATAAGCCATCAGTGTACGGAACGGATATTGTATTTAGTGGGTTGAGGTCTTTCTGCTTTTCATATTGTCACGAGTAGAACATACAGTATATTAGTAATTTGTAACCATGAGGGTTTCATAAACAAAAAATTATTCAAATCATCAATTGACATTGAACTATGGAAACTGACCAAGGAACTCTCATGAGAAACGTGCAAATCTAATAAAATGATGTATATAAATATTGGATATGAGGGTTCCGAAGTTAGTCTGGTCTGGGGCTACTCTTGACTTGACAAGAGCTCGTCGTGATGGTCGTTATAATGTAAGTTGTTATTAGGTCTTTATATTCATTGTTGTTTATTCATATTTGTCATCACTACCCATAATGTTTCATGCTATTATAAATATTGTTATGTTTGAATGTAGTCTCGTACTTTCAGTTACCCCTAAACTATTAGTGCCTATTCGAATATTACCTCTCGCAAAATATTAAGCCAAGCATAAACCCCTTTAATATATAACTAATATAAATCGATATAAATCGATATGGATGGCTTAACCATCTCTACTATATCGTAACATGGTGGAAACCACAGCTCTTTTATTGTGACATCTATTTATATCGTGTGAGACAGTTTTCATTATTTTAAGTATTGAATATGAAAATGTGTTTTTATATGGGGCATCTGGCCAGGATTTGCGAACGGTCCAGCATGCTAAAACTGGACTGCCTCGGTTTGATCTTCAAATGGGGCGTTCCTGGTAGTGCACACAGATAGGCATGCTAAAACCATCTGTACCCATACAGAAACTGAGTAAAAAATATTAATTCATTTTTAAAAACAAACAACCACCTACTTTTATCGTGACAATATTATGATTTGTTTTATAATCTGTGTACTCTATGTTTTGTAATTCTGTTTATTGAATTCAAGGGATAATTATTGTTCGTCAAGGTATCATTAACTTTTTTTAGTGTTTGTTCTCTGTATTGTGGATTGGTTAGACTGATAGCTCTATCAACTAAGCCTGTGATAACACTCTTTCATGTATCTGCCAGACCATGTGTCTTTTGTATAACATTCAGTGAGGATTTTTTTTTAAATTAATGTTTAATCTAGGAAGTTGATTTAAATAATGACTTCTTATCCTATAGTGAATTGTAATTTTGGATTAAAAGAATTGAATTCTTTGAGTACATTCGTTAGTTCATTTTGTGGTATTGCAAGTAAGCAGTCATCTACATATATCTTTTGAAAAATGGTATTGGGAAATGAAGTTTTCTAATAACATTTTCTTCTAAGTTTTCCATTATTGATTGGGCAATGGTGCTAGAGATGGGAGATCCCATAGTAACACCATCAATTTGTTGATAAAAATTCTCTTTTACTGAAAACAGTTTGTGTTTAATGTTGAATCTATGGCTTTTGTGAATTCTTCTATTGGTAATGTTGTATATTCTTCGAATTCGTCCCATTTGATTTTCATTATATCTATGATTAGGTTATTTGGGATATTAGTGTACAGTGAAATAACATCTAGTGAAATAATTAAGTAGTTATCTGGTATGCGTACAGTATCGATAAATTCTATGAAGGAAAATGAATCTTTAATGTAATAATCATTTTAATCAATTATTTGTGATATAATATCTGATAGAAATTTTGAAAGTTTGAAGAACGGTGATTGTATACATGAAACAATTGGTCTAAGTGGTATGTTTTCTATGTGTAATTTGGGTAAACCATATATCTTTGGAGGGTTTGCCTTATGGATTTTTAGCTGTTTGCCTTGGTCTTCATTGATTAGTTTTTTTGTGAGCCAGGATTTTATCAAATTATTGTTTTTATTTTGATAGTTGGTGGTAAGATTGTTTCTCAATTTGCGATATACTTTTGTGTCCTTTAATAGTTCTGACATTTTTTCATTGTAGTCTTCAGTGTTCATAATAACAGTTTTGTTGCTTTTGTCTGGTTTCATCATCATAATTTTGGGGTTATTTTTGATAAATTCGTTGGTTTCTGGAATATTCTTGAGCAATGTTTTTTGAAATTTTTCTTTTTTTATATCATTAGCTTCGAGTCTTTTTTTGTGATTGGATATGGCCTGTATTTGTTCTAATTTCATTTTTGACACTTTCTGGTTTGTTTTTGATTCCTGTTTATATTCTTGCTATGTATTCAAAAGTAGGGATTTCATTTTCTTTCGTTATTGGTAGTGCATGTTTTTGTCCAAGGGCAAGGATGTTCGGAATGTTGTTAGGTATTTGAGTGTCTGACATATTTTTCATTTTCCATGTCTGTGGAGTTATTATTGAAATTTTTTCACATTTTTTTCTCTGGTTTTGATGAACATTTTTTAAATTTTTTCATCTTCAAAAAGTAAGTAGGTGTCCATTATTTCAGTTGATAGTGTGATTTTTGACAGCATGGTTGATTGTGCTATTTGTTTTTCTAATAATGTGAAAGGCTCCAATGAAACTGAAAGTAGAAAAAATCCGACAGAAACTAATTCCATAATTACAAGTTCTACATTCTCTTTATGATTACTGAAAAATCAGAAATACGCTCATGAAACACTCGTTCATTAGTTCAAAGATAACATTGGTCAATACTAGTCCTTTCTATACTAGGAGATATTGCCAATCGAAATAAAGATAAAGATAACGTGAGACCACATTGTGGTTTCACCAAAGGAAAATCAATCTCACCAAAGGAAAATCAAATCACATTATTTTTCTAATGAAGAAAAATAATTTCCTCAGTAAATAGAAATAAACTTCCTAGGTAATTGAAAATATGAAAGTTCGAATTTATAATAAAAAGAAAACAATATTCGAAAGCAATCCATTCAGTTACCTGTAGTTTTGTACATATCAGAAAAAGTTGGTCGACGTCTTATCTCTAGGATGGATCTTCGTCAAGAGAGAGCTATTCTTCTTTTTTATCTCCCTGCTCAAATTATTCTGCTCGAAAACAGTGGTGTTGCCAATTCTACAAGAATTACAAGAAACTATTTCATTCAAAATATACCATTTCAATTTACCACCTTCTTGTCGCATATACATTGAGAAACCTATGTAATAATGCTCTGAGAGTTGGAACAAGAATTCAAGCAGACACAGAAAGTGAAAACAAGCAGAAAAATGATTTAATTAGCTGAATGAAACAAGCCACAAGCACAAGGGTCAGAAACAGATGAGAAGCGACAACCGTGTGCCGTGCATGAGAGATCATGTGGTATACTTACCCGTCGAATATCAGCTAATCAACCAATCAGCGAGCTCTAAAAAAAACAGTATACGAGGTAAATGAAAATTATCACCGAAAAAGAACGAAAATTCACAAGTGTGAGATTTTTCGTTAACTGTATGGATGCATAAAAAAATAATTCGGACAAAATACTACTTTATTATACACAGACACTGATTCATTAATTCTCAAATTCCAAACGGATAATTTTTATGACTTCATGAGAAGCAACACGAATCATTCAGATACTTCCAATCACAATGAGGATGATAGTTTTGGCATTCCTGTAGGAAAGTCGATTCTGGGAAACATGGAAGATGAATTCCCTAGCGATCCAATCATGAAGTTTTATGGCACTGGAGCAAGAGCATACTATGTTCGAGTTTTAAAAAACGAAGTGAAATAAGCTAAGGGCGTTAAAAAGTCAGTCATCGATAAACAAATACATACCGCCGACTATAAACGAATTGTCGAAAAAGGAAAAAGGAAAGCATTCTTGCCACTCTATCGTGGAAAGGCGATACAGTCTTAGCTATTCACTAGTTCGAGACACAGCGCGATTCGTCGTATTTCTGAAATTCAACTGTTACGTTATTTTTCGAAAGAATAATCATGTCTTCCGTATGGGGATCTTCCTGCGACAAGTCTGCCGATGACTTGTATTGGAATAACTTGAACGCGGACGAGTGGCCAGCCTTGGCGGAGATGTGCATCGAAGATCTTAGGCAGATGGGAATTATGGATCCAGTGCCGGAATTGATCTTGCATATTCCTAAGGATGATGTTATGCCTTTAACATCTACGACTCAAACGCCGTCAACATCGGTTCGGATAGTCGGAGAGGCAGAGAGAACAATGGCGATGATTCAACACGCTGAGCCGGAGCCAACTAGGAAGAACAAGGTTCCGAATAAGTTCCCGAATGGGATGAAGAAGGACGTATTGAAGCCGGCTTAGGTGACTGAAATGTCACCGACCGCCATAGTGACTCCGATCACCGGGCCATCCAAGCGGCGAGGAGGGAAAGCAGAGATTCTGTCGGATGTAGTGATTAAACCGGCAGAAACTGTAGCGCCAAAGCCCAAAAAGTCGAATCGGCGGCGACACAACAGCTCGCCGCTTCTGAAAAAAGTTTTAGAGAAGTCTATTGCGGCATTAGAGACTACATCTGCTAGTCAACCAGCAGATTCTCAACCTTCGACTACAGCTGCTTCAATTACACCAGCTCCGTCGACTTCGACTGCTCCAATTCTACCGGCTCCCTATTGTTCATCAACATATTACAAAAGATCATCTGAGTTGCAGAGGGCATCATCGAGTGAGAAGCAGAAAACAAGCACATCATCCAATGCAACTGCTGCTGTGTACAGTGTTGATGGTGAGGATGAATTTCCAGCAACACAGGAAGAGCATCGAGATGTATTTAAAAAATACAAAAACTTATATCGAAGATCTGAAATAGGCAAGATCACAAACGCGAGAATCTAGTTCAAATGTGCATATAAATAAATTATAGCTGTGAAAAGACAGGAATGTATGGTTTTAATGACAACTTATCCTTCAGTATCACGACAAACGCCATTTAAAAACCATCAGATTTCTTAGAACTCTCAAGAATGCAGGGATGGCGGACACTTTCAGGTAGGTGATGACGTTACAAATATTTTTCATTGCCTTCTTCAGCGTTGCCGCTTGTTGTAATAGTCCACAAGATTACCAAGTAAATATTCAAGTTTTCGCTTGAAAACGGGAACAATACTCGAAATTATTGATGTACATTTTCAAAGTAATTGGGTTATTTATCGATTTTCGAATATATTCGATGCATTTGAAAAACATACATATGAAAATAGTTGAGTTCGATACTCTGCGCACAATGTTGAGAAATGTATGCGAAATGTTTGGCAACGCTGTCAATCATTGTAACCTTCAAACAAAGAATAGTAGGTTATTCAAACTTTTCTAACCTTTGTTGAGGTGGACTCATGCAACATCAACTAAATTATAATGAATGAAAGATTTGAATTAATTCTAAACTGAGAATATATGGGTGTTCATGAAGCATCAATATATTGAATTTATAAACTAGTAGTCATGCGCATTTCGTTCTGTCATGTGTCCAAACTGCCAATAAGTTACTTGTTCTGTGGTCAAAAAACGAAACTTCAACCCTAACCTAATTCATAGTTTTGTTGTAGCCTGTGATTGTTGTAGTTGTTTTTATTGATTAGAAAGCTTGGATTGACATAAAATAATATGAGAACCTCGAAAAAAAACCTCTTGTGTTGTCAGAAAACGGAGGTTCAGGAGGTTTGGTGTTAAACCTATACTGAAATTGAGAAAGAAATATGGACAATTCGAAAGCTATTTCAGTATATGAAATCTAATGATGAACAGGAGTTTTTTGCGTATACTCGGATGACGCCCAAAATATTTCAGTTTCTCCTAAACATGGTATCGAATGATTTGAAAAAGTTCCCCAGCAGAAAGAATGCCCTGAAACCAGAGCTACGCTTGGCATTAACTCTACAGTGAGTTCATTTTACAGTCTTTTAACATTTTTATTCTATATTGATATTTTTTAGCTATCTTGCTGAGGGTTTGTCAATGCGAGAAATTGCAAGAAATTATTCCATTGGTAAAGGTGGATTCATAAAACATTGATTATAATTATAAATTAATAAATGATCTACGTGTTCATAAAAATCTGAATTAATGTTAATTTCTTGAAATGTCAACGTCTATGTCAATGTCATAATCATGTCATAAATAAGACATAATTTGAAAAAATGTTTCTCAAGCTCAAATTCAGAATATTGTTGTGTTTATGTATATAAATATAATAAAAATATTAAATATAATAGTAGTGTCTCCGTGTCTCGTCTAGTGACGGTTTAAGAATGCGAATTCAGTCAAAGAAAAAAAGAGCCCTTTTACTTGGTTCAACTCTATTATTGAGCCTCTCTGCATTGATGATAATGAAGAAGAAAAAGGTACATCGTAGGTACAAAATCAGACCCTTCCTGAGAAACAGACAAAATAGTGGACAGTTTGAGAAAATGTTTCAGTCTATGAAAATAATAAGGAGGCATTTTTTGGTTATACTAGGATGTCACCTAAAGTGTTTCAGTATCTCTTGAGCTTAATTGAACGGGATCTACAATAAGACCCCCGAGGAGCTCCTTTATCTCCAGAACTCAGACTAGCTGTTACTCTTCAGTAAGGTTTTTACTCTTCCAATCAGCATTATAATCAGGAAATTCCATTAACTTTTGTAGTTTCTTGCCAGAAGGATTGTCAATGACTGAAATAGCTAGAAACTATTATATTGGAAAGTCAACAACACACTATATGATGAGACAAACATGTGATGCGATTTGGAAAAATCTAATGCCAGTATTTCTGCCACCACCAACAGAACATCAGTTCAGGCAGATTGCAGAAGAATTTTGGAAGCGGTGAAACATACCAAACTGCATTGGAGCACCAGATGGAAAACATATAGTGATTCAAGGTCCATATCATTCAGGAACTGATTATTTCTCATACAAAAAATCATTCAGGTTAGTTTATTATCATACATCACTTATTCGATTTTTATTGTATGATTTTTTTTTAGCCTTGTACTAATGCAGGGGTCGGCAACCTGCGGCTCGCGAGCCGCATGCGGCTCTTTTGATGTAATGTTGCGGCTCTCCAGGTCCATACGCAAACAATACTAAATGGAATCGATATGAATAAAATCGTTTCTATAGCAACTGATGGAGCCAGAAGTATGACAGGAATACATAGAGGGGTAACATCAATTCTTCAGAAGAAAATTAACCACGAAATTCTAACATTTCACTGTATAATTCATCAAGAAGCGCTTTGTGCCCAAACATTTCCGGCCGAAATAATTGAGGTCATGAACTTGGTGATTAAGATCATTAACAGCATCTTGGCAAAAGCTCTCTACCATCGCCAGTTCAAAGATTTCCTTGAGGAAATAAATAGCCAGTATTCTGACCTACTTCTGCACAATAAGGTGCGATGGCTTTCCAGAGGTAACGTATTACAACGTTTTGCTTTGATCTTGAGTGAAATAAAAACATTCCTCAATGAAGAAAACATCGACCATTTCGAATTGAAAGATGACAAATGGCTGCAAAAATTCAACTTCATGGTGGATACCACAATGAAACTAAATGAACTAAATCTAAAACTGCAGGGAAGGGGCAACCCAGCCTACGCTTTACTTGAAGAAGTAGTTTGTTTCGAACAAAAATTACTCCTTCTTGTTGAAGACATGGAGAGCAGTAACTCAATTCATTTTAAAAATCTGAAGAAGTATCGCGATGAGACCAATGCAACTATTGACACGAATTACTTCAGCTTGGTTATAAAAAACATCAAGGATGGATTCGCTGAAAGATTCGAGCAATTCAAATCAAACAAAAGTACTCTCGCGTTTATAGTAAATCCTCTCAACACAAATACAAATGAGATCAACATCGAACCACTTGGAATTGATGCTGGATCGCTCCAAATGCAATTGTTGGATTTGAAAACCAAAGACTTGTGGAGTGGCAAGTTCACAGAACTCAAGAGTAAGTTGGAAGAGTTGGAGGTCAAGAAATGCATGCACATCGCGCAGCACAAGTGGACAGCTCTGAAAGAAATGCCGCACGTTGAGACCCTCATATTCGACGCATGGAATAGTCTTCCATAATGCTACAGTGAAGCGTTTTCTTGCATGAATATAATAAAAAGTAAAATTAGAAGTCAACTAACAAATGAAAATCTAGAGTCGTGCTTGAAACTTAAAACATCAAGTTATAAGCCAGATTTGATGAAACTTTCAAAAAGCATGCAAAGCCAATGCTCTCATTGATATATATCGATATTATTTTATATTTGTGTTTTCATAGGAATAAAAATTATTTGGTATTCAAATCGATTTATTATGAATCGCAAACCAAATGTATAAGCAAATACTACAACATTGAAATGAAAATATTTCCAGTGGCTCTTTGAAAACTGAAAAATTTTGTGAATTAAACTTTTGGCTCTTCCGTTTCAATAGGTTGCCGACCCCTGTACTAATGGCAACCTGTGATGCCTATTACAGATTCGTGATGGTAGATATTATTTGTATTGGTATTGGTATTTGGCCAATCAACTTTTGGACATACACTCTTGCAGAATAAACTGCCTATCCCTGCTCCAAAAAATTTCACGGGCGAGAAGAACAATAGAAAACACTTTTGGTATACTTGCGCAGAGATGGAGAATATTACGTGGGCCAATTGTGGCAGATATAAAAAATTGTGAGGCTATATCTAAAGCCTGTGTGGTATTACATAATTTCTCACAGTGTGGGGAACAAGAACTCCTCATTGAGGAAAGGAGATATTGTCCAACAGGATTTGTGGATGTAGAGAGAGAGAATGGTGAAATGATTATGGGCAGATGGAGGCAGGCAGATGTATTGAGTCCAGTTGGTAGATTGGGTTCAAATAATTGTTCAAGAGAAAACCAAAGTAGAAGATTGCTACTACAAGAATATTTCAATTCCCCAATCGGTATGCTCATTTACCACGAAGACATTATTCTTAGAGGAAGTATTCCAATTCCCAATAAATAAACAGAATGTTTTTGTAAAATTATTTCATGATTGAATAAAGTTGGAAAATCCAAATCAAGTCGTTCATTCTGAAAATTTGTATTGAGCTAGGAATGGTAATACTATTGTTTTTTTTTATATCAATATTGGATGTCATAAAAAAATTGGTACTTCATTCACCAACTTATAAGGATCAGTAGTCATTGAAATAGTAAAAAAGTAACATTTATATTCATCACAATATCAGAATATCACAGTTGTAGATGTAAAATTTAAAACCAAAACAAAATATACATCCTATGTAATAAAAAAAAACAAATTGGATAACTGTATCTAAAACTGTCCTCTGGGACACACAAAACAAAAACTATTCCAGTCGAATGAAAAAATTATAGTCTATATAATTATCTGGTTCAAGTATATTTTTCAATAATTTCTAAGATCTCTATTTTTGCACGAGCCTTCATTTTCCGATCTTTTATATGCATCAAACTTTGGCCAATTGATTTCCAAAATGACAAATCTTCGTCAGTCTCCTCTGGTGTGTTGAGAATATTTTGGATTGCTCCTAAAGCATTTGTTATACTTTTTTCCATTGTATTAGATTCTTCCGTTTCCTTTTTTCTATTTTTTCTCATTGAGTATATATTTTCTTTTTGTAACTGTTTAGAACCACTAGCTATTGGTTCTGTTGATTGGAGTGGTTCCACACTCTGTGAGGTTTGTTCATGTTGTATCATGATTTCATCATGATCTATAATGAGTTCATCATCATCTACCATGGTTTCATCATGATCTAACCCCTTCAGTCCCCATGTCCACTGGTATGGACATTGATTTTGACATGAATAACACTCCATCTTTAGTGTAATGTGTGAATCATTCAAGCGCTTCACGAGTTCACTAGGATCTCGTACTGCAGTATCCTGCGAACTACCAAGCCATCTCTTCGAATTCAAACAAAATATACCATTTAGCATCACAAGTGAATCATGGCTACCTCATCGCGTCGTTACAAGGGTAAGTTTATTACATTGTGATCGCTATAATTCGAATAAGTTCATGATTATACTTCAACTAAATGTTGAATATAATTCATTGAATGTGATTGAATGAATACAGTTTGCAATTATTGAGAAATAAGTTGTACATAACCTACCGAAAAAGCATGTCCAGTGCAAAGGACATTGGGCCTTGAAAGATGCATGTGAAAAATGTATGTGTTCGTGGCAGTGGACATTGGGTCTTGAACATTTTTCTTTTTTGTAGACAAATATGATCCTGAAAATCCAAAAGACGCTGAGGAACTGTTGGAATTTTTGAATGATGATGAATTGGATGAAGAGTGCGAGAAAATGTTGAGAAATCTTGGGGAAACTTCAGATATAGACTTTTTCTCCGATAATGATAATGACGAAGATATACTTCTGCCGTTTGCTCCGAAGACATTCAGAGTAGGAGCTGATAAATTATCGTTCGAAGATGAAAAGCTACAGAATAAACAATTGGCAGAGGAAGAGCATGTAACCGAATCCTCAGAAGTAATTGACAGTGACACAGAAGATGATATTCCTCTATCAATCATTGCAGAAACATTGAGAGCTGAGGTAAGCAATTCGCGTTCGGAGGAAAATAAAATACCCGACTGTTACAAAGACATTATGTCAATTATCACACCCAAGAACAAAATTATTTACCGAAAAAATTACGAACCTATTTCTCCCCAACCAGAATGCGACTCCACATTTTCTCCACAAACAAACGAAATACTGATGCCAATTCAATATTTTCTTAGATATATACCTGAACAACTCTTTGATGTCATCGCAGAAATGACTAATAATTATGCACTTCAGCAAGGAATAACTAGTTCCAAGCCAACCCATGCAAATGAAATCAAAATATTCATTGCATTGCATATCATAATGTCTTGCCTCAAATTTCCCAGAATAAGGATGTACTGGGATGTTGATTCCAATATGTCTCTGTTCAGGGATAACATGGCACGAAATAGATTCTTTCTACTCCGAAACAATCTTCATATTGTCAATAATTTGGAAAAGCCCAATGACTGTGAAGACAAATTATTCAAGGTGAGGCCTCTTTTAGATAGCGTACGGAAGCGTTGTCACGAATTAGAAGTTGAAAAGGACCTCAGTATTGACGAACAGATGGTACCATTCAGGGGTCAGTTCAGCATAAAGCAGTATGTAAAGGGGAAGCCAAATCCTTGGGGGATCAAGATTTTTGTTCTATGTGGTAGAAGTAGTCTTATGTATGACTTTATCGTGTATCAAGGCAGTACCACTGAATTCGATGAATTCCTCTTGAATAAATTTGGTCTTGGGACTACGTCTGTTCTGCATTTGTCCCAGAGAATTCCAGAGTATAGACATTTGTATTTCGACAATTATTTCACCACTTATAATCATCTGGAAATTCTGAAATATAAAAAGATAAATGATGCTGGAACCGTAAGAGTGAACAGGTTCAATAAACCTCCACTAATCACTGACCAGCAAGCAAAGAAAAACTGAGAGGTTTTTCAGAAGAAATAGTTAGTGAAGGTTCATAAATAATTCTATGCAAATGGTCTGACAACAGATCCGTTGTTCTTGCTTCGAATTTCATTGGTAAAGGCGAAGAAGATGAAGTGAAACGATGGGATGAAACAAATAAAAAATATGTTCATGTGAAGAGACCACAGGTGGTGAAAATGTACAACAGAAGTATGGGAGGTGTGGATAAGCTAGATCATCTGATAGCACTCTACAGAATATATATCAGATCAAGAAAGTGGACACTAAGAATGTTTTTTCATGGTGTGGATCTAGCTATAGTGAATAGCTGGTTAGAATACCGCCAACATTATACCGATGAGAATAAAGAAAACCCTAAGGAAAAAGCATTAGACTTGCTCCACTGTCGTCTCCAATTGGCATATTTTCTCATGAAGATGAATATTCCCGTCATACGAAAGAGAAGACGTCCATCAGATGCATCTCCAAGTTCATCTATCACCAGTACCCCTACACATTATTGTAGTGAAAGAAAGCGACTATTTATGGAGGTTCGTCATGATCGCTTGGATCATATGCCCAATTATGATTCGGAAAAAGAAGCAACCCGATGTAAATTTGAAAAATGCACGAAAAAAACTCATGTTTTTTGTGACAAGTGTAATTTACATCTTTGTTTTCTCAAAGAGAGAAACTGCTTTCTTTCCTTTCACAGGAAATTAATTCGTACCTACCTATACATTTGTAAAATTATAATTCAAATAAAAAAAGTGTTTACTGAAACAATTGTATTACTCTTGAGTCCTGATGTCCACCGAGCGGGACACTCCCTAAAATATATAATAGTAGAAATAATGTTCAACCCCTGCCCTCTGATGATCCTGAGATGACCTCTGATCACGAAACATTCGTTATTTTATTTTCTACCTTCATAATAATCTGGGACTGAAGGGGCTAATACTAATGTGTCTTCTTGTGTTGTATTTTCAGTACATTCTATTGTGGGAATGTTTGAAACATTTACCACCTTTGGAATGTTTCCCTCTGTTCTAAAAGAAAAACTGTTTCTGTATTTCACTATTATGAATAGTAGATAGGTATACATACTTTCTTATCGTGATGAAAGGTTGTAAAAATTGAATCTGTCTGAAATATCTCCAGGTCGGAATGGGTGCAGAGCCAGTTGGCACCAATCTAATTTTACGCCTTTCAGTGACATACCTGTTTTTTAGGGACGTCCACATAGTCTTTTCATCTTCCCCTGTACAAATCATATTCATAAACAATGTACAAAATAATGTAAAAAGTGTTTCTTACGTGGATATCCCATTATTTCACCTATCATTTTCCAGGCATTTTCCCTCGACATTTTGTTCTTGAAATCGAGATATGTGTGTATTGTCTAACCAATTCTCCAGGCACCCTGAATCATTTTATTTAGCTTTTTGGTAAAATCTCAAATAGAATATTCGTTCGTTTAAAAATCACAGCTGATTGGAAACGTGTTCAACTATGACAGTTTTGACATAGATTTGACAATTGACGAGAACAGTCATGCGCAAAAGAATTCACACTACGAATTTATAA